GCACGGGTGGGGGCCAGCTGGTTTGCCCTGAAGGGTGTCCCGGATCAGGGTGGGGGTCCCGCTTGGGTGCCTGGCCAGCCTGGATGACGGGCTGATGGCTGTTTTTAAGCTGCCCGCACCCCCTTTAGGGTAGGGGTCCCCACTGGGGTGCCTGGCCAGTCTGGATGAGGGGCTGAGGGCCGTTTTCAGGCTGGCAGGTGACTGGAGCTCCCAGCCTGTCCTTTTTTTCTATTTTTTTTTCTTTTTATTCTGGGATTTATTTACTTGCTATGGCTGTCACTGGAGCTGAGAGCCGGCTTTAGCCCTGAGGCCAGCTCCAGCTTGAGGCCTCAGCTGCTGAAAGCAGATATCTGGGCTTTGTTTAGCTTCTATAATTGAAACTCTATTGCCATCACTGCCGCTCTAAGCTCTGAGCCCGCTGCCGGCTGAAAGCAGGTTTCTGGAGCTTGTTTAGCTTCTATAATTGCAACATTGTTGCATCCGGAGCTCAGAGCTGGGCGGCAGCAGGCGGGGAACCTTGGCTTCCTCCATCACTGGAGCAAGCAAGCCTCCTGTTCACTTCAGCTGCCTGGCTGCCAGCCGCCATCTTGGTTGGCAGTTAATTTGCATATCCTGCTGATTAGCCAATGGGAAGAGTTTGGGGGTATGGTCAATTTGCATGTTTCTCTTTTATTAGATAGGATTAGGTATAATAGGATATTATAAAAATTAAGTTATGAAATTTTTATTACGATATTTCTTACATACCGTTATATTGGCTGGGTCGCAAAGATATTCGTTGTGGGCTGCATATGTCCTGTGTCCTGCGAGTTTGACATGCTTGCTGTACAGGTTTGTAGCATAGGATCAGTAGGCTATACCAGATAGCCTAGGTGTATAGTAGGCTGTACCATCTAAATTTGTGTAAGTACACTCTGATGTTTGTACAAGGAAATTGCCTAATAATATATTTTGTAGAACGTATCTCTGTCATTAAGTGGTACACAACTGTATCCTTGGGAAGAAATTATGGTGTCCTTTTTTTAGGTAGTACCATTGGGGAATGGAGGAAATTGAATAGTTGAAAGTTTTATACAGTAGAATTTATAAGTCTTGGTGATGGGTTTGCTATAAGTATCATATACTTATAGTTACCTTTTAGATATCTGTATCAGAGGGTTGTACTGTCCTTCAGACCCACCTTGTTCAAAGCCACATATGCCATTCATTCATATCAAAAAGTAGTCTTTCTGTTGCCCTGGCTGATTTGGCTC